AACTTTCTCTTTTGTATAGAACAAACAAATAATCCTTTGATGTATACTCTTTAAACCATGAGTTGAATACTTAATTAAAACATCAAAGAAAACTAGCAAAATAGCCCGAGATATAAACCCTAGAACCCAAGAAGAAGACCTGGAGGTGTAATCCTAGATTTGGAGTAACTTGCGAATTTATAGAATCTGAAATCGCTAGGTCCGCTCGAGCGTGGGAATGGACGGGGACACTATATCGAAACCAAGATGTACGCTCGAGCGGGGATTTCGACGCTCGAGCGTGAAAACATGGATCACAGTATTTTTGCAGACTCACCAAACTTCTGGAACTCAGCATTCTCCGCTCGAGCGGGGGAATGTTTGCTCGAGCGGACAAGCAACTGCGAAGGCAATTTTTCATTTTGCTTCGAGGGCGCTGCCCCTTGACCCCGCCGTGGCGCTGCCCCGTACCCGTCAAGGAGTGCTGCCCCCTGGACCCCCGCGAGCTGATCGGACAGCTTGATCCCCGTAATAATCAGCGAAGTGACAATCTTGAAGTTATTAACATCACAAACTTCTCTGCAAGTCACAATTCGAGCTGAATTCGCATCTAAAAACTCGTAACCTCACTGAAATAAAAAGTGCGAAAACAAATACAACTGAAAGAAGTTTTGTCAGACGGGATTGCCAAGAATAAAAACCTAACATTATGGAATGAGAATGAGAATTTATGTAAACTTTTTATAACACAACCTATGTTGATATTTATGATTGATTGTCACTGACTATTTTTTCACCTTTTATTTGCTTTTATTAATTGTTTAATTATTATCTTTAAATAAAAAAAGCAAATTATAAGTATCCATCTAAGAATAAAACAGCGACAAAAAAATAATTGATACATAACATTACTCGAGCAAATAAGTTTTCCATGTGTAGCAGTGATATAAAATAAAAAAAAATATAAAAAAAGTGATATAAAATAGTCATCTCGTAGAATATGTAATGACAGTTTTTTTTCTAAGAGTACAGCTTTCCTTCGATCCACTATTTTAATAGAAGGATCCACTTTTGTTCAATACAGACCTATTTCGAGTTCATTTTGTTGATTAAAATCGTTTGTTTTTAATATATTTTGAGTATATCATTCATTAAAAAAAAAAAATTAAGTTGATTGAGTATCGATAACCATATATTTGGATAATATTTATCTTTAAAAAAACAGTAAATATAATTTCAAGAATAAATTCTCTATTTTCTGTAAAAATAAATGTAATTTAAATATGTGATTATTGATATCTAATTAACATAATTTTATTCATAAATAATGTAATGAAAAGGCACTTAACTTGAGTAACTTGGATTAACATAATGAGCCCAAAATAGACCTATAATAGATTAAATTGGACCCCCCAATTTAAACTGTATATTGTAAGGAGCTGAACCCTTTTTCTAAAACCAACATCAGAGGTATAACCATGAATCTAATGTTACCATAAAAATAATTAAAAATGGTAATGAAGAATCTAGAAGTTGTTTAAACTTTAACAATAAGTTCTCTATTTTTAGAAAAGAAATAAAAGAATATTCGAGGAGAAGAATACAAATATGCCTCTTTTAAAGGGACTTGCTAGCGAATATCCTAATAATTTAAAGGTCTTATTATTAGGATATATATTTAGATTTTCCTGTAACATAAAAAAATATTAAAAAAAAATCCTAATAATAAGACAACCTATACCTGTACCTAGCAGTCGCGGAACGTTTTATTTATTTATTTATTTATTTTTGCTATATAAAACGAACTACCAAGCCACCTTCTCTCAACCTCATGTCGCATTTTTCTGTCGAGAGGTTGTTTGGGATGATCTAAATAAATATATTTTTTAATTTTTTATAAAAAAAATGTGAAATATGAGTTGAGTTTAAAGTGATATGGTAGAAAAATAATGTGATTTAAATGAGATAATTTGATTTAAATAGGATAGTAACTTTTTGAATTTTTTATATTATGCCAACCTAGACCTAAATAAAGAAACTAATCCAAGTTTGTTACCTTTTTAGTTAAAATTTTCAATTATTTTCTTTGTTTGTTTCTGTCAAAAGGCATATGAACCTGAGAAGAGCATGCTTAACCATAAAGTTATCGTTTAAGGCTTATAAGTTTTTTTTTTTTTTTGATCAAAGATCTCAATTTTGTAAAAACTTAGTTAGATAAAGTTTCATTTTGATATTTAATTTGAGATTTTCAAGCCCTTAGGTTGCTACTGTATGAGAGAGAAGTGGATTTGGCAAATGTTTTTTAACAATTTTTTTGTTGATTTTTTAAGTGATTTTTTTTTAATAAAAAAAATTAACTTTTAAGTTCTACTAGACGAATAGATTTATTTTTTTATTTTTAAAAAACCCACTAAAAGATAAAAAAAATAAAAACATTTGATTTATTTCTATATTTAATGAAAAAAAAAATTGAATTGTTTTTATTTTTTACATGATTCTAAACTAAAAGGACTTGAAATGAAAAAAACTTATGATACACATTTTAATTTTTTTATTAAAACCAAAAAAGGTTTTGTGAATGCAAAAGCATGCGAGAGTGGAGATAGTGTTTTGGGAGAATTGCAAAAAAAAAATGCTATCAATACAAAATAATTGCAATGTCATGGAAGTACAAATAATTTATGCATTAAATTATATAATTAAGGGGGAATTTGGAAAGCTAGCTAAAAGTTAGCTTTTATCTTTTAACCCATTTTGGATCACATCACTTCTCATATTTTCATACACAAAATGTCAAATAAGTCAAAAAGTCTGCTTTTAATCAACTTTCCAAATCACCCCAAGTCTTGTACTTTTATCTTTTTGTAATTGTTTTGAGTTTATATATATATATATATATATTTTTTTTTTCCGCTATATATATATATTTTTTTTTTTCCGCTCTCATACATGTAGAGTTTATAGTTATGGAATTTGGATTTGAAGATGCTTTCATATGGGCCGATTTCATTCTTATTTTGATGATTTGAACTGTTCATATTGTAAGATTTGTTGAATAGATTATTTATTAAAAAATAAAGTTAATCATACTTTTGTAACCATATAATAAAATCACATTTATTTTAATAAATTATCATTTCACAAAAAACAAAAAACAAAAATTAATATCTAATTATATAATTATGAATATTTAATTAACTTGATTTATTTCATAGATATTTTACTTATGGAATCCAACGCTTGAATAATCAAAATAGGTTGAAAATCAACCCACACCACATGTAGGCTGCTATTTCTTATTGGTACTCCAAGTCGGTGAAATCCATATCTATTGAAAAGAAAAGTATACAATCATATAACATCATGATGAATTAATTCGTTATACAAGTCACGACAGTGAGAGGGGGTGTCACATTTCTCAACTTTAATAATGCAAAACAAACTTGCAACGAAGACTGAGGGTTATTTTGGGATGATGATTATAATTAGCATTTGTGAGAGATGGAATTAAGATTAAAAGCTGTTATAATCAACTTTTTGTGAAAGAGGAAAATGAATTATAATCTGAGAAGTGAATTATAACTCACCTCCCAAAAGACCCCCATAAGCTTCTTCTTCGCAAGGTCCTTATTTTCCAATTCATGTTAGGTCATCACCATGTGTTTCTCTGCCATGACGAGACAACCAATAATAAAAGAATCACAAGCACAAGGTCTAGTTTGGGAACTTTTTTTTTTTCTTTTTCATTTTTTGAGTTTTTTTTGCTATTTTTCTTGTCTTTTTTTTTAAACAATTTTTTAGAGAACATCAATTTGTTTTACCACAAAATTTTTTTATTAAGAAGTATAGTGATATAAAAATTAATGACATAATTAAATACAATAGTTATTATTTTGTTAATAAAATCATAAGTATTTAATTCTATGATTAATTTTTGTACAAACAAAAACCTATGAAAGTATTCATAAAATCAAAGGACTTTGAATTAAAAGAGTAGTGTTAAATGGAAAAATACACTTTCAAATTGTGTTTGAATATTAAATTTATTAAGAAATTTGTAGAAGGACAACAAAGTGGAAGGGGTTTGTTTGGGAAAAAAATCTTCTATTTCATTCATAGATCCCTTCTTCTTCTTCTTCTTCTTCTTCTTCTTCTTCTTCTTCTTCTTTTTTGGACACAAATCAAAGATTCAATAAGGTCATGTTTGTTTATCATTTGAGAAGCAAGAGTGGGATTAGCATTCTCGTAGAGTTGTGATTCACAATCGAATTTCATGAGGTTAGATGGCTAAAAATCATTTTATCCTTACATTACAAAAGTAACAAAGTCATTTTTTTATATAATTAAGACTTTTTCGTAAATTCATAAATTTAATCACAATCAACTAATATTATCCCATTAGTATACAAACAAATTTAATTTATTTTATATTTCTAACCTAATAATATTACACTAATAATCACATTATTCAAATTCTACCGTATTCTTAATCTCCTCAACTTAATTGGCAATCAAGCATGGTCAAAAAAGAGTACCCCCATATTTTCTACACCATATTCATCATAATTAATTACATTTAGATCCATGTAAGTGAGTGCATACTAATTAATTTTAATTCAAATAATCTATATTAGCCTCATTTTCAGTAGAGATTATTACCTCGTTAAACATACCCGGCTTAATTTCAGGATCACCCATCAATTTAACTTCCAAAAAAATTGACTATAGACCATAAATTAAATCAAACCAACCCAAAATAAAACTTATATTTAGCTGTAATTATTTTATTTTATTATTCTATTTTCTTCACATAATTGTTGCCAAACACAGACTAATTTGCAACACTGAAAATACAAATATGAGTTGATTTCACTTTTATCTTCTAAATTATCATCATTTTTTTTTTCATTTCATTCTTTAGCCAAACAGTCTCACCTTTTATTTTTCCTTTTTAAATCCCTACTCAAATTCATAATTTAAACACGTACTTTACCAAAATACGACAATAATTACATTGTAAGTGAGAAAATCCACCAAACCGCATTTTCTAACTTCTCAATAATTTTAAACATCAGTCAATACATACCATATTGGCTGATACATATGAAATTTTTTTCTTTTCAATACCGATATATATATATATATATATATACTAGATAGAATGAAAATCACTACTGTATTGACCGGTTCCTAATACATATAAGCTTTATAGCAAATTCATGCGCCAATACGATAGTTGTTTTCTGCAATTGATATCACTCGATACTCTCAAATACCATTACACTACCGATAAAACAGCAACTTGGGACAGAATGCTCTCTCTCTCTCTCTCTCTAAATCCAAATGCTACTGAAGGCTTCTTCAAGTGCCCGTTTCCTGCTCAATTCAACGCTCCACCCTCCCGCCCTTCCACCTCTCTCTACTCGAAGTTTCATCATTTCTTCATCATCGATATCATCATACGCTTGCATCTCAGGATGATTAAATCCGACTGGAATGGGCAGTGGTGCAATTCCACCCCCAGTGACGACTGCAGGGGCGTAATGCCCCTCTATAGAGCTCTGGTTTGTGATCTGCCTCGGTAAATAAATAAAAAAATTAGTTGAGAACATGTGATGTTCATCAAGAAAAATACTAACGACAAGAACATTTATTGAAAATACTACATTGGTTTTACAAAATAATAAACAAATAAAAATTAAAAGCAGACTAACTCAGACTGGCCACAAAGTTGTTAAAATTCAAAATATTTCATAAATTGTAACGTTGTAAGATTTCATCTGGTTACGAATGAAATACAGAGGTTCAAGAAAGTTCTGATGACATAATATAGGATCAACAAAGACAACAGAAAAGATGAAAGCAGAAACATAATCTAATAACAACACACGATATCCTAAAACAAAAAGGTGACAAGAACACAAGGACACAAAATCCACATTTATCATATGATTGATTAACTGTAACTAGGCCCATGCAGGATTGACATTGATAATAGTTTAATTTTAAAAATAAAATAAAATTATATTTAATACATCCAATATATCTGCTACAGGATTTATTTCAAAGTATTAAACTATCTATCATGTAGCTTTATTATACAAATAATTCTACCATTTCTTATTATTCATTATGCTGTTCATTTTGTATTTAATAGGAAATAGGTAACAACTTGCTAGCATTATCACCTCCTTTGTCCTCAATGGTGCATAATGTGTAAGGGATATGTAGAACTGGCAGACGATTATTTCTTCATTGTCCGGTGGCTCTCTTCTTATGGCAGCATCTCTTTGGACTGTGTGATGTACTGTGGGCAGCTCTGAGGGTGCGCACGCATATGCTTCTTGTTAATTTTGACGGGTTTGATGGCAATAGGAAAGCCAAAACATTGTGGTCTTAAATTGTTTTTTATATCTTTTGAACCATTTGGCTGGAAAGAAATGCAAGACTTTTTATGGAAAGGAGTCAGATGCGAAATCTTTGTGGGATAAGGCAGGTTACTTGTCTTCGTTTTGGGCTTTTGTGTCTATCCCATTTAAAGGAGTTACAATTTTTTTTTATTTATTTATTTGTTTTGATTTCTAGGGATTGGGCTGCTGTTTGCCATTCACAGTGTTGGAATGTTTTCTAGTTTGCATTTTCAATTTTTGTTCTGATTTCTTTTCATTGCACAATGACTCCTTGTCCTCTCTTTCTTTCATGCTTTTTTCTTAATAAAACTCTTCTTTTGTTGCTGCTCAAAAAAGTAAAAAAAAAAAAAAAAACTTTCTAGCATTATCCATCCAGTTTGGACATACTGGAAAAACTCACCTCCAGAATAATCCTCTCAACTGCTTCTATTTTACCCCTTTCTATCTAGTTTTCCTATTATTAAATATAAAGCAAAATTCTATTTTATATTATTTTTGGACAACTTTGGTTCACGACTTGATTTGAGTCTTTTGGTGATCGTTAACACTGAACGAGGGAAGCTGTGAGCAAACTAGGATTTATCTTGGAACAGCTTCACTCACACCTTCATGAGGGGAGGAAAGCAGTTTTAAAACAGTGACAATGCGACTACTACACTCTCACATGCTACTATTCTGAACCCTAATTTAAATTCTGTTTATATCATATTTTCTTGTCATTGTTATCATAATATTTCTGCTAAATATAATGTTTATTGTTTTGCTAGACTTACAATTCTCTGGTTTCCTCTAAACCTCTGATCATTGACTGACAAACCCAAAATGCATGCCAAAGAATACCAGGACAACAATAATAAAATATATAAAGTTCGACTAGCAGTTAAAATATCTGCAGTGCTAGTAGATTTTCCCCTTCAATGCTAGTAGTTCGACTAGTATAAATGAATTCACGGGCACTTGTTCATGCCAGATTAGTCCCAAATTTGTCATATAAATAGCTACAAATTTCTTGTTGTCGAATAAATAGCCACAAATTCCTCACTGAAATAGGGTTGTCTAATCATATAAGATTTTAGAACCACTAGATTATACACTCAGAGCTCAAAAAGATGCATCACAGATAAAAATATATATATATATATATTTTGGGTTTTTGGGTGGGTGTCTCTTGCATCACATTTGATATATATACAGTTACATAGAATATGCAGGAAATCTATGCAGAGATTCAGGAAGTTCAGGTTCCATGGTGGTAACATGTTCAGATAATATTAGCAAAGTTTATTAACTCAAAACTCCAGTTTTTAGCCATCATTACTGGTTTTATGAACTGAGAACAACATATCCAACTGAACAAAATATGCATAAACAAATTATTATGCCAAACATCAAAGAATCAGGATTATCACATTCCTGATAACATAATGGCTGAAATTACTTTTCCATATCTGGTACGAATTTCACATAGTCTAAGTAAATCTTGTTTGTTTACTGCAGTAATAATTTAGTTTTACTTGAAATACAGCAGTAATAATTTCCAGCAAGCTCCAAGGCCTTGAAGCTTGGCAAAGATTTCACCTAGAAGGATAAGATTCTAAACATTGTTTATTACATTTTAGTTTCACTTAGAATGCAGCAATAAAGTTGCAGCACTATAATTGTTGTCTCGACATAGAAAATAGATCTCTTGCATATGAAACTTCCAAGAAGATTTGATATGTGAATATCTTCTACAAACTAAAAGCAAAGGTAGAAAATAACAAATGTAATAAGATCGCATATATTTGCCTAGAAGTTAAGGTTCACTATGTTCAAAGACAAGGAAGAGTCAAGATATACATGAGATATTCAGGTTGGGAACATCATCAATAATTATTATCAATAACCATGGAATGGTGTGATTAGTTAAAACTATGACTCTCAAGAATGGACGCAACATAATTCAAGTAAGAGGGCTGCTATTTGCCCCTTTCTACCAATTTGTTTTGGACCTCAACCTACTTTGGACCCCCACCTACAAATTTTGAATTTTTTTTTTTATTTGGACCCCAACCTTATTCCCAATTCTACCTTCATTCCTAACATTTGGAAACGTAACCCTAACCCCGACCTCCGATAGCTCATTCCGCACCTCTTCGCCACCCCTTCCTACCTCACTGTCTCCTCCTCTCTTCTTCGACGGTTCTACTTCTCCTAGACAAAACCCTAGACCCTCCCCTGCCAGAAAAAGAGGGAGCGACAGAGAGGGTGATCGCAGAGAGAGGAAGAGTGAGACAAATAGCAATCAACACGGAGAGAGTGAGACAGAGGGGTGGTGGGGGAGGTCAGGATGTGGTGGGGTGGGAGGCTGAAGAGGGGTGGGGGTGACAGAGAGGGGATAGGGAGGGAGAATGAGGGCAGGGAGGGGCAAGAGAGGCTCGTTGGAGTTGGAGATGGCGAGGGAGGGTCGTGTTAAGAGCTGGTGGCGGCTGGAGTATGGGTGTGGGTAGGCTTAGGATTTGGGAGGTTAGAAATGAGGAGAAAATTGAAATTATATGATGGGAAGATTGTATTACAAAAAAATATGAAAAGGTGGGGGTTGAAAGAAAAAAAGTAGGGTGCTATTAGGAGAACTCTTCAAGTAGCCAAACTAACCAGTTAGGACAAGACCTTTGCTGAGTTGATTTAAGTAGCATGTTCTTTGGCTGTCAACCAGATTTTTAATAGTAGGATATAAAGCAAGGCAAAAAGTTAATCCGCTAACTCGAAGCAATCGACAATCTCATATTTGACAACATAGTTGCATTGCCACGTAATGATGTCCAAGAAAGCAGAGTTAAGTTACCTATGGGACACCCCAACCACTTAGGCTGAAGTCCTCTAATAAAGAGACTCGATTTCAAGCTCCAAAAATGACCTATCAAAAAGGGACTTACAGTGCACTAAATGATGTCTAGACAGATTTGAGTAGGCAATGCATATTTATTAGCGGCTAAAACAAGAAACAATAATGCATGTGATCTTCTCACCACATCACTATCAGCCTGTGCAGGCTGTCCCTTGCTTGCAGCCAATGCTGCTGCGTATTCTTCGGCCTGTCATAATAAAATAACTAGAATAAGAATACTCCAAGAGAATTTTGCAGCAGATATCACAGAATTCACGACCTTTAAAAAGACCTAAACTACATGAAACATTGTTCAGTATGATACAAGAAATTTAGCTAACTTTACAACAAACCTTACGAGCTTGAGCATTCATAATTTGTTCAGCATTTTCTTTCTCGTACTCTGCAATTTTTGCTTCAATAACAGGAACATTTATTCCTTCAATTAAATTACATGCTGCAAAAAATAAAATAAATTTCTTCGGTAGGTAAGACAACATTTTATTGACAAAATGATAAATAGAACGAAGCTCAACCTAAACCCTCTAAAGGAAACAAAGGGCACAAGAAAATAAGGTCTCTGACATCCCAAGAGGGGTTTGTAAAACCAAATAACAAACCTCTCACAACCTAAGAGGGAAGGCAACATAACAAACTTTCTCTCACAAGACCTGAGAGAATAGGTGAATACCATACACCATGGAAACACCTGCATCCCTAATCAAGGCCCCTAGGATGCCCACTTCAGAATTTTTGGAAGAAGGAAAACATTTCTATAAGAAGAAAACTCTTACACCGTGTTTGATTTATGGATTTGGATAGGGATTTGGAAACGGAAAGAGAAAAAGTGTGCGAAATATAGTTATATTTCATTCACATTGCACCTACCTTTACCTTTTCCTTTTCCCTTTCTAAATCCCTATCCAAACCCATGAACCAAACACAACCTTACAAGCTACAAAAACTTACTCATGTCTTCCACTTCCTCCAAGTAATCATTGTATTCTGTCAATGATGGGAAATCCTCCTGTCTTTTATTAAATCTGTGAAAATTGTGCAAAACAAAAATGAAGAAAACAAATAGATATCAAGGATTTAATTCATTATAATCTCTCGTATACATTAACTAGAAGTAAAATAGGCTATACCCAGTGAGCTTTGTGAAGAAGCAAAAATCACACAAAAAAATCTCAGATGTTCGAATTGGAAATCAATTATTTCATTCATCATTCTACAATTTATCAAAGACCATACAAATGAAATTAAAATAAATAAATAAACAAAATTCTACAATAACTAATAAAAAATTGTTGGCTTCACTTTAAAGCCATTTCTAAGATCAGCACCTACCGACATGAGGTTGTGTCCATGGCATTTCTGTGGACAATGGATATCTATAATGCTTGTCTTAGTTTTTCCTATTTTTTTATTTTATTTATTTTCTTTTTCTTTTAAAAACCAGCCACTTTGTGCGTATATTACCAAAGTTTAGGTATGTATCTATCCAGTCTACCTGCTAGACCCCCATCCAATGGCGACCAAACAAGATGTATTTTCTATTTATTTATTTTTATCAAGTACATCTTAAAGGCATGAAATTCACCGGTGTTTTTAAAAACTTAACAATTTCTTTTTAAGATTTTAAAAATCAGTATAATCAGTAAATTTACAAAAGCAGACAATGCTAAACTCAAGAATGTAAGCAGTCACATTGAAGCTTGAATAACCATCATTTAACAATATATTCTACAATAAACTGACAAATAATTTGTTCTCCAAGGCTAGCAGTATGTATCTTTATGAATGTAAATAAAAATCACATATAAGAAAATACACAAATATTCTTATGTTGTGTTTGGATCATAGATTTGGGTAGAAAGGGAAAGGAAAAAGGTGGGTGAAATGTAGCTTATATTCCATTCACATTTCACCCATCTTTTCCCTTTCCCTTTCCCTTCCCAAATCCGTACCCAAATCCATGATCTAAACACAACCTTACAATCATCAAATCTAAAACCAAATTCATTACAAAAATCAGTTTCTTCTTCTTTTTTTCTCTTTTTCTTTTTTTTTTAAACTACAATTCCATATTCCAAAGTCCAATTATCAATATTCAAACAAGAACACCCATTTCCTTCGTCTACCTTTCACTAGAAGATTCAGCCAAACTCTCCAGTTCCATCTATCCTTTCTTTTGCTGGTATACACCTACACTTAATGTTGGGATTCAACAACAAAACCTTCATAAATCCAAAGTGTTTCCCCAGTTTCAGAGTATAATCCACACTACTACTTCATGTCATTGCAATTCCCAGAAAAAAGAAAACCCTAAACCACTCAATAAATACAACTCCAAGAGAATTTTGCAGCAGATATCACAGAATTCACGACCTTTAAAAAGACCTAAACTACATGAAACATTGTTCAGTATGATACAAGAAATTTAGCTAACTTTACAACAAACCTTACGAGCTTGAGCATTCATAATTTGTTCAGCATTTTCTTTCTCGTACTCTGCAATTTTTGCTTCAATAACAGGAACATTTATTCCTTCAATTAAATTACATGCTGCAAAAAATAAAATAAATTTCTTCGGTAGGTAAGACAACATTTTATTGACAAAATGATAAATAGAACGAAGCTCAACCTAAACCCTCTAAAGGAAACAAAGGGCACAAGAAAATAAGGTCTCTGACATCCCAAGAGGGGTTTGTAAAACCAAATAACAAACCTCTCACAACCTAAGAGGGAAGGCAACATAACAAACTTTCTCTCACAAGACCTGAGAGAATAGGTGAATACCATACACCATGGAAACACCTGCATCCCTAATCAAGGCCCCCAGGATGCCCACTTCAGAATTTTTGGAAGAAGGAAAACATTTCTATAAGAAGAAAACTCTTACACCGTGTTTGATTTATGGATTTGGATAGGGATTTGGAAACGGAAAGAGAAAAAGTGTGCGAAATATAGTTATATTTCATTCACATTGCACCTACCTTTACCTTTTCCTTTTCCCTTTCTAAATCCCTATCCAAACCCATGAACCAAACACAACCTTACAAGCTACAAAAACTTACTCATGTCTTCCACTTCCTCCAAGTAATCATTGTATTCTGTCAATGATGGGAAATCCTCCTGTCTTTTATTAAATCTGTGAAAATTGTGCAAAACAAAAATGAAGAAAACAAATAGATATCAAGGATTTAATTCATTATAATCTCTCGTATACATTAACTAGAAGTAAAATAGGCTATACCCAGTGAGCTTTGTGAAGAAGCAAAAATCACACAAAAAAATCTCAGATGTTCGAATTGGAAATCAATTATTTCATTCATCATTCTACAATTTATCAAAGACCATACAAATGAAATTAAAATAAATAAATAAACAAAATTCTACAATAACTAATAAAAAATTGTTGGCTTCACTTTAAAGCCATTTCTAAGATCAGCACCTACCGACATGAGGTTGTGTCCATGGCATTTCTGTGGACAATGGATATCTATAATGCTTGTCTTAGTTTTTCCTATTTTTTTATTTTATTTATTTTCTTTTTCTTTTAAAAACCAGCCACTTTGTGCGTATATTATAGTGTGAAAGTAGTGTGTTTTGTTATGAGTTATAACAATTTGAATTAAGTTTTGAAAACTCTTTCCAAAATTCATAACCAAACAAATTTTCTTACTTCACATGTCAAATCAAACTTTCAAAACTTAATTCAACATTTTATTCAAAAATCATAACTAAACAAATTTTCTACACTCTAATCATAATTTCACAACTCACAAACTCAAAATACAACTCACACTCTCAAATCATATTTACAAAACTCCACCAAACGCAACCTTAAATTGTAGTTTGAGCAGTTTTGAATGGGTTGACGGATTAAAAGTATTTTCATTAATTATCAAATATTTACCTAATACATGATATTAACTAGTGTAACCATGTTATCCACAAGACTTTATAAATTAAAAGTATATATATATTATTATAATTATCTTGAAATAATTTAATATTTTATTTTGTGATATATATGAAATTTATAAGTTAACTTTTATGTTGATAACTTTTTAAATTATTAATTTAAAAAAATTAAAAATTATATATAAATATATTTAGTGTAATTTTGATAATTTGTATTTAAAAAAAGTAAAATCTGATTAACTGAGTTATGACATACCTTTTCTTGTTACGAAAATATACAAATTTAAAAGATTTAATTAAAACAAATATATAATTTTATTATTAAAAATGAAGTGAAGTGATATTTAACAATAATAATTAATATGATGTTTCTATTATTAGTCCAATAACAATTTAAGTTACATTTATTTTGATTTCAATTTCATAACTAAAAATATAATACGAATATAATACACACATAGATTTCTAGTATTTATGAATAAGAAGGTTTCAAAATATTTTCAAACTTTCATCATTTTCTTTTAATTTTTTTTTATCTAATTTAATTTTAAATTTGAATAAAAATTTTGATTTGATATGAATTACTTTAATTTTTTCATTAATTTTTAAAAGAACTTTCATTCTTATTCAATTTTTTTTTTCTTTTCACCAAATTTGATGAAAAAAAACAATAATTTTCAACATTTCATTTTTTAAGATTTTTATCAAATTATAATTTGATAAAAAAATATATTAAGGGTTGAAGATTCTCTTAATTGAAATTGTAGTGAAATAACATCTTGAAATAATCAAAATTTGAGTATGTAGTTGGTTGAAATATATAATTTAATTAATTCTCTTCTTACATTTGTATAAAAATTGACACTTATGACTACATCATTATAAGTTGGATTATGAAAAAAAAATTGCGGTGTCAAACTTTTTCCATTTGTGAATATCCTACATATTAAAAAATGAAAAAAAAAGAAAAAGAAAAAAAAATGTGTAGCTTTATTATATGTGTTTATCAATTTTGTTTTATGAACATAAACAAGTGATGTTTCAATTTAAAAAATTAAAAAGTAAAAAAAAAAATTGGGTTTTTTAGAGATAAAAAAAAACATATCTATTCACCCAAAAAAAAAAAAAAACTATCTAACTCTTCTATATACTATTAAGATGAACTATTTTAATCACATAAAAAAATATAAATTATATTTAGAGATTATCCCTATATATTATGTTATTATATACAACTATAGTAGTAACAAATTAATTATAATATATATGAAAAGTTATATTAAGTTTTCATTTTCAAGTAATTGAATTATAATTAACAAACTAACAAATAGCAGTAATGGTCTAATGGGATAGAAATAAAATAAAAAAAAGAACACAATGATATTTGAAAGTTTTAAATTTACCTAGTTATACAAAAATCTAATATTGTAGTAAAATCTTGAATTCTCAATAAATTTTCACATTTTTTATAAAATAAAATGACAAAAAACATAAAAATTTGATACCCATTTTTTTCCTTCAATTTTATGATCTTCACTAAAGAAAACAAAATTAGATCAAAATTCTTAGCATGGAATAGGCATAGATACTTCGATTGCAACCATAATCACTAATAATTCTTCTCTACCATGCAAACCTGTAAACAAACATATAAATCTCACTAAAACCGAAACCAAAAGCAAACCAACAGTAGAAAAAGAGAATCACATAGGGGAAAAATAAAATTAAAAAATAAATAAATTTATAGAGTTGAAGAATGTTACTTCTAACAACTTAAACCTCACCTAACTCAATCTATTAGTTCTTGTGCCAGTGCCTGCGAAGTTTAGGAGTTGGAATGACTAATCAGATTATTCTTAAAATAAGATTTGAAAATTGATTAATTTGTCTCATTAAATGATTTAAAATTTTGATATATATACATCATAAAAATAGATAATTATATTACTAAATCATAATTCAAATTTAGATATTGTCATATTTTTTTTAGATCCATATCTAAATTCTCATCTTTTTCATTTTTTTGTGGTTTTTATTTGGGTTTTTTTTTCCCCAATTTATTTAAGATGGAGTTGTGGGTATCTATTTTGTTTAATTTAATTTATTTGTGGTTTCTATTTGTTTTTAATTATTATTTTTTAAGTAAGTTATGATGTGAGTTAGATTTGTGATAGACATGTGAGTTTTATTGATTTAAAATATAATGGTGAGAGATTTTTCAAATTAGATTTGTTTAGATAAACTTTAAAAAAATTTCAAATTTAAAATTGGATATTGAGATGCAAAAGAAATATTTTAACTAAATAAATAAAAATAAAATTTATTAATTTTATCTGTTTGTATATCTAATTTTTGGTTTTTTTTTTTTGATTATGCTATAATATAATATATAAGATATAGATAGATATCTACAACTTTCATGAAAAATATTATCTAATTTTTTGGGAAAGAAAGAAGGAAGATAAGTTTTAATAATTTTTTTAAAAAATTGGTGAGAGAGATTATAATGGAAAGATTATGAAATATTTTTGTTATTAAATAAAGAAATCGGTCAATAGTTTTTTTAATCTATTTTATAAATTCAAAAAGCAATAATTTTAGAAAATTGATTAATTTGTCCCATTAAGTGATTTAAAATTTTGACAGATATACATAAAAAAAAATAATTATATTACTAAATTATAATTCAAATTTAGATGTCATATCTTTTTGAGATTCATAGCTAAATTCTTATCTTCTTTATTTTTGTGTGTAACCATAGTGCATAGGAGAAATTGAAAAGAGTGCTACAATAATTATCAAAGAAGTCAAAAGGGTTTGTGGGTTGGGAGAAGTCAATAAATGTTGAGTTTTTTTTTTAAATCAAAAAATTAGAAAATTAGGATTATGATATTGGAGCTCCCACAAAGTTTGTAGATTAGAAACCCCTTTTCCTTATAATATACTAGCCTATCACTCGTGCTATGCATGGGATAATTATAGATATTTATATTTGTTTTAATTTTTTTTAATATATAAATTATGTTTTTAAAGATTTTTCTATAAAAAAAATTTAATAAACTTATCACTAACAATAGTGTACAGAAGAAATTAAAAAGGCTACTACAGTAACTATACAGAAGTTGTATCTATAATTATTTGTGTGAGGGGATTTTAAATGCTAATGAGGGATTTTGACCAAATCAATAAATGCAGGCATGTGGATTGGAAAAAGTTAATAAATGCTGCAGGAGATTTTGACCAAATCAATAAATGCTGAGGTTTTTT